TGGACTGTTCAATCATTTCTTCTAGAGAGTGAGTGTTCAGATAATGTGCTCATTTGAGCTTTAGTTTCTATTAGATTTAAAGAGCAAAGAAAAACTACCTTATAAAAAGATCAAGCAGCTAATTATCAAAAGGTAATGGAGAAGAGAATCAAAATACATAAAATGACAGCGCGTTTGTAATCGTAGTTTGATCATCAGTCTAGTTTGATGGATGAGAAAGATGCTGAGCTATGTATTATCCATGCAAAATGAAACCAATACATTTATAGGACGTAGGTTAAATGCACAGTGCTAATCTTCTCTGAATTCTGAAGCCCGATGATGCATACTAATTCCTCAGATGGTTCTTTAACAAGCTATAAAATTACTGGATTTGTGAGTGAGTGTGTTTTGACTCTATCCATGCAATTTTTGTCTCCATGCCTCGTCTGTTTCCTCAGATGCACATCTCCATTTACTCCCAGACTTGGAAATTAGAAGTAATGGATACAAGCCAAATGGTGAAGTAAGTGTGTCAGTAATTGCTATTCAAGCAGTTATCAACAGATTTGGGTGCTGGGCCCGTGCTATGCTGTGTTGCAGGAATTTTCTTTGCTCAACACAGGAGATGACTGGGAGGAGGAAAGCTGTTTCAAATGTGGGAGATGGGATTCCGTTAACATTTGGACATGTTAATTTAAGCACTTGCCCAAATGTAAAGAGGGTCGCATTAGCATAAAACAACCTCTTTGTCTGTTTCCTTTAAAAGACCACCTCTCTGACAGCTAAAAAGCAGAGGAAGATTTGATTACGTGGATTCACAGCTGCCATTTCTGCTGCAGAAATTTCTTTTCAGGTAACAGTACAGTGGTACCTCGGGTTACATACGCTTCAGGTTACATACGCTTCAGGTTACAGACTCCGCTAACCCAGAAATAGTACCTCGGGTTAAGAACTTTGCTTCAGGATGAGAACAGAAATCGTGCTCCAGCGGTGCAGCAGCAGCAGGAGGCCCCATTAGCTAAAGTGGTGCTTCAGGTTAAGAAGAGCTTCAGGTTAAGAACGGACCTCCGGAATGAATTAAGTACTTAACCTGAGGTACCACTGTATTTCCATGTATCCTTCTCTATTTGGTCCACTGAGGAGGCTATTTGTGCCAGTGAGCTAAGCAAAATACACAGCCGCCAAGCACAGGCTTGGTTTCTGATACTTTCCTGAAACAAGCTATGATTCTAAGAGCACTTAAACCATGGTTAGCCAACGTGTCTTATGGGTGCTAGGGAGGATTGGCTGAGGAGTTTTAGCAAAGGAGTCTGCAGGCCTGGCTATGACAAAATCAGGCCTTCTCTCTTCGCTGTGTCCCTTGTTCCTTACTGCAGTGGTCTGAACCACAAGCCACACAGGGCTGGGCAATAGCTGGTTTTTGACATCGTGATATATCACCAGCTAAACATCGTGATATAAAGATATATCATGATGTCTGAAATAAGAATGTAGCTATGTAGAGGCACTGGCTGGCTTCACGGTTTCCCCCACATTGTGATTTTTGCATAGCACACACACATCATGATTTGTGATATATATTGCCAGGTCAAAATTTATAAAACCAGTATCACGATATGGACTTCAACCCGGTTTTGGGCGATATATCTATATACTGCCCAGCCCGACCATTGAGACATGGATTGGGGAGCAGGGGGTGCTACTTTTGTGTGGTAGGGGGCACCAGGATGCCATTATATTGCACTTTGCTTCCTTACTATGATTATTCATATCCCATCTTGAAGGATAAAAAATCCTTCCAAGGTGGCTTACATATAAATTAAAAATACTGTAATCAAGTCACAGAAAGAAAATACTGAAACGTAACTCATCTAGATGCTTCTTACATGGCAGTTGTCAGTCAATGCTGTCAGGGTGGTAAACAGACCAGCTAGACTAGGAGCTTATTAATAGAATATTTTTGCCTGCCTCCCTTTCTTGTCTCTACCCACAGGCCAGTTGGTGGCACATGGTCATCCAGATGTAGGAGGATGGACAATGGAGCTGGAGAAAGCTCTGATGTCATCTTTACCTGCCTGCCTCACTCTCCCGCCTGTCTATTTAAAACTTCAGTTGTGGACTTACTGTGGGGGGGAAACCAGGCACTGCTCATTTAAATTGTTAGTGGGTCCCCCCCAAAAAAATTAGGGGTCAAATCAAACCCAAAGCTGGCTACGGCAGAGCCAGAGCAGAAGCAGGGGGAGGGAAAAACATCCTTCCACTGCACCCAATCCAGAATGGACCTGGTTTACATTGCAATATGTTGACAGCAGGGTTGGCACAGGAGTAGAGTGTGTGGCGGCCTAGTCCCCAAACCATACAGTTTTAGGGGTTCCATCTGGCTAACAGAGGCCAACAGAAATAAGTAGGCTTGGCCAGGGGTGTCCAAACTTTCTCCAGTGTGTTGGATCAGGAGTTTGGATTGCTCTGCCCACTGCTGTGGGTCACAAAGAACTAGAAACCAAGAAACAAACCTTTATGCCACATTGTTCTGTATTTTGAAGTGTTGACTGCTGTTTCACAGAACGCAAAGATGAAAAAACCCAGAGCAGAGGGAGGCTGCTAAAGTAAAGACGGTGGGCATGTGGCTCTCCAGATATTGTTAGACTTCAATCTTCATCAGCCTCAGGCTGCACAGACAATAGTTGGGAATTATGTGAGCTGTGATTATGGGATGCGGGTGGCACTGTGGGTTAAACCACAGATCCGATCAGAAGGTTGGCGGTTTGAATCCCTGCGACGGGGTGAGCTCCCGTTGCTTGGTCCCTGCTCCTGCCAACCTAGCAGTTCAAAAGCACGTCAAAGTGCAAGTAGATAAATAGGTACCACTCCGGTGGGAAGGTAAACGGCGTTTCTGTGAGCTGCTCTGGTTCACCAGAAGCGGCTTAGTCATGCTGGCCACATGACCCGGAAGCTGTACGCTGTCTCCCTCGGCCAATAAAGCAAGATGAGCACCGCAACCCCAGAGTTGGGGTCCCTTTACCTTTTTATAATGTTATAATAAATAATGTAATAATGTTACTACAAAAGAAATACATCAGACCTGCATTTTAACACTCACAAAACCCCCGTAAAACCCATTTCTGGTTACATTAACAAATATCAAAGATTCACATTAAGACATAATACAATGACTACGCTTTCTGTGAGCATTTTGTTAAGTCACAGGGGACCAAAAAGGAGAGAGAAAGGTTAACAATGAAACGATGAATGTTAATGGTGGTTAATGGTACCACTCCAGCTGGAAGGTAAATGGTGTTTCCGTGTGCTGCTCTGGTTTGCCAGAAGCAGCTTAGTCATGCTGGCCACATGACCCGGAAGTTGTATGCCAGATCCCTAAGCCAATAAAGCAAGATGTGTGGTGCAAGCCCAAAGTCGGCCACGACTGGACCTAATGGTCAGGGGTCCCTTTACCTTTACTTATGGGAGCTGTAGTCCAACAACATTGGGAGGGCAGTATCCTTGTGCTAGAGTCAAAGCTGAGCTACAAGATCACAGTGTTTTATATATAAAAAAACAAGAGTAGAGGACAAAATGGTCCAGAAATTATGTTTTCCATGGCTTTTCATTTTTTGACTATATGAAGAAACAGCCATGTAAATTTGTTTCCGATGACAGTGTGTTCATTTCCCCCAACACACACATGGATGTAATATCTATCACCAAAAATCATTGGCGTTCCCTGAAATATATTGCATATGATCAGAATATACACCAATATGAGTTTCACATATTTATCCTCTTGAAGATGTAAATACCATCCATTTTATTCTCATTATTATGCTTGCCAAAAATAAATTGTTGCTTTTCTTTTTAGTCCTACCTGATTTAGTCCCCACACCACCACACTTCACCTCCTCTCTACCTTGCCCCCTTCTCCATTGTAGTATGACAGCTAGCCTAGACCTCTGTTGCCAAATATATATGATTTGTGTTTTTCTTGTAGATAATTTACTCTTTATTTGTCTTTACAACTCATCTCAAAAGGGCCTTTCTGCATCAAGGTAATACACTTCTCAGAAACCAGTCACAATTAAGTCCCCCCAAAAGGATAATTCAGGTTTAACTCATCAAACATGGTTGCCATCTTCACAACCTCCTGGTTTTTGATTAATTGATCCCAAAGTTCATTTTAAGCAAAATTTCCTTTCCCTTTTCAACAGTCGAATCAGAACTTATAAAGTGCTTACACAAAAGCAGCCCCAAGTCTTGCTGAAGATACAAAACCCATAGGAAGGCTTGTGGTGTTTGCAATTGCTCCTGAATAAACAGAATAAACAGTGCTGAATCTGGGTTTAGAGTAGATCTATTGAAAGCAATAAGCCTTAAATTAGCCATGACCAATCTAAATTCCACTCATTTCAATGGGCAGAACTAAATCTGGCCTGGTACATGTCAGTCCATCTCTAACAGCATCACATGGTTATGAAAAGCTACTGTTTTAAGAGATCATAAAATATAAAATCTAATCCCGAAACCCATTTGGGTAGTTCAAAAAAAACCACTCTCATCTTTGTCTTACGCATCTTTGTTCAGGTTCAGATGATCAGAGCCTGCATATATTTGGACACAATGGTGATTTTTGGTTTCAACATATTCAGGATTTGGGCATTCTCAGAGGATAGGCAATCACAGGAATACAAGAATCCCATAACCAAGCGTACTAAAGAGGTCAGAAGACTGAGCTGAGCAAGCTTATTATGACAATGGGATGAGAACTCTGAGATAAAACAAGAAGGTCAAAGCTGGTAAATCAATCTGAGAGCATGTCGGAAACAGGGAGGCCAGCTAGAAACAGAACCAAGAGTAAAGAAGCATCTCCAGGGACAGGGAAGTCGAGGCAAGAGCGCTCAGGAAACTGAGGCAATCATTATTATTTATTTAATTTAAAATCTATACCTCATGATGTTTCCAAATAGGAACTCAAGGCAGCTAGCAAAAACAAAAGACAACATACAATACAATTTAAATAGCACATACCAGCATTTCTAATAACAATTGAACCCGTCTGTCCCCCAAATGTTAATGCAGCCATGGTGTGTTGCGTAGTCAAGAGCTGATAATGAGAGTCTCGTCTTCATAGGAAGAGGGGCCCAGAAAGAAGGCAATGAGTTGTTTCTGACCTGGGAAACTTTACCCTTTTCTGTAGCTAAGAGAGACAGAGAAAAGTGCCTGAACAGCATCAGCACAGGTAATGGGAACAGTCCTTTTAGCGTCAGTTTCCTGAGCGCTCCTCTTGAAGTATGGGAACAGTCCTCTTGAAGTATGGGGAATTTGTGTAGAAACTCAAAAGCTCCAAGTATGTTTTGTACTGAACAGAGTGGTCAGTAGCTTGTGTGCAAGCCTAAGGCTGGATCTAGAAACATCAAAAGAAGCAGTTCAGGAAACGTGTTGTAAACCTCATAGTGGGAAATCACATTGGCAAAAGACAGGACTCCACAGCGCCATCTGGGGTCACAGTGCTATAACACTTATAAAACGCTTTTTCATTACTAGTGTAGCTGAGTCCAACTCCCACCCCTTGGCACCTTATATACTTTGTCATCCAGGGCTTTTGGGGAGGTGTTGAGTTGAGATATTTGATGAGACCTAATGCAATTAAAGGCCTTTGTTTGCTGCAGAGGTGCAAGTTGTTGCAACTGTTGTTTTAACTGTTTGGTTGTATTAATTTGTTTTCGCTACAATTGTAACCTCACCTACCTGGGGTAGGTTTCATTGAATAGTTAGATGCGGTTAGGACTACAGCCTTGGTTATTATTTTGCAACTGTTTATATTGCTGTTTAAATATGAATATTGTAATACATCCTGCGCTCCTTGTCGATGAAAGGCAGACTAGAAATATAAGAAAATAATAAATAAAAAACAAATAAAAACTGGGATAATTATTTTTAAAAAATAATCATAAAGCGATAACAAATACAAAAAAATTAAACACAGAGACGTTTCACGGCAGAGGAACTGCAGCAACAGAAAAGCTGTTAATTATTTTCCTCTGATAGAATAACATAGCTAAATACTAGAGAGATCAGGTACCCCTATGATTTACTGGGCTTTTTAAGCAAATGATTTCATAAGGGACTTGTACAAAGACAGTGATGTGCTACAGGGTGTCAACATACCAGCGTATCATTGTTCAAATCATTATTTTTAAAAGCATAATGCAAAACCTTTTGAATTAGCCTTACATCAGAATGTACTTTCAAAGGGCTGGGATAATTTTTTATAATACCTGTCATTGAAAAACAACATTCCACATGAGTCATGCAGCCCTCATGACAAAGTGACCATTATGAGATGAGTGCCAGCCTTGGCATATTTTCATGCTGTTGAAGCAAAGAAATGGTGTTCACTTGGAAATGTGCAAAGAAAATCCAGCCATCTCCAACAAATCTTTTATTATGGAAATTACAGCAGACCCTCCAAGCGTCCCTATTTTCCAGGGATGTCCCTGATTTAGAGAAGCTGTCCTGGTTTCTGATTTGATCCCGGAATGTCCACCTTTTCCTTAGGATGTCCCTATTTTCATTGGAGAAATGTTGGAGGGTACGGAGTTACCCAATCCCTGAGCCATCTGAAGGCAATCCAGTATGGGGAAGTTTAATGTTTTATTATATTTTGATATATGTTGGAAGCTGCCCAGAGTGGCTGGGGCAACCCAGTAGGATGTGTGGGGTATAAACTGTAAAATTATCATTATGGAATGGGATGTTGGAGGGTATGTTACAGCTGTATGTAAGGAAGAAGCTGCTGTTTCTACTGTACTTCCTTTTGGTGACTGAAGTTTAGTCAAGTCTTGGGCAGCCAGTGCACAGTAAGATTATTTTAGCAGATCATTGATACTAGGAACACGGTGATTCTGTTTTTTGGATTTTGAAATCTATCACCTATTAACACTCCCCGTCTTTCACGATCCCACTTACCTAAAGCAAACACACAGTTTACATGAGTCACCAACTGACGCTCAGTTTGCAAGATTCTGGGCTAAGAGTCACGGTGTGTCAGAGGATATTGTCCTTCACATCAGTTGTGGAGTGGGGTTACAACAGAGCACACTGCTTCCATTTGGGTGAAAAACAAAATGCTTTTATTTACAGTGGTACCTCGGGTTAAGTACGTAATTTTTTTTTTAAAAAAATGATATTTATTGAGAATTTTAAGGTTACAAAGAAATAAGAAGGAAAAACCAAGAGGAAAACAAAGAAAGAAAGAAGTAGATAAAAGTAACAATTAAGCAATACAAATCAGTAACAACCAAAATCAAAAAGAAAAAACAAAACACACAATACATCAAAATCAAAAAGCAAAAATAAACAAAAAATTTAAAAACGAATCCAATATTCCCAGATCCTTAACTGTCATTACCTTATTTCATCGACCTCCTCCCACCTCCCTTTTTTGTATTCTAGTTATTAATTATCTCAGCAAATCCTTTCAATCTTTCACAATATTCTGTCATTAAATTACCTTAATCTATTTTAACCTTATCTTACCATAAAAAGTCCTAAAACTTAAAACTTAAATCTTATTTATACCAAATTCTCTTAACCATTACATATTCTTACATAATTCTTTTAACATTTCTGCTAAAGCCCAATAATTTCATTCCAACATTTTTCTAATATTCATTAATTTTACAATACTTTTCTAAATGAATTTTTAAAACTTTCTTCCAATCTTCATCCATCGTCTCTTTTTCCTGGTCTCGGGTTTTGTCAGTCCTTACTATCCCATCCATCTAGTCCATCAACCTGGTGACCTTATGTCCAATGCTCTTAAGTCTCTTCCATGTCCCTTCCGTAGGTCTTCTTCATACATTCTTGTTCAAGGTCAAAGTCTGGTCCCACGATCTTAATCTATTACAGCTGCAAAGCTCCCCAGTTCAGCTTTAATAACAGTTTCACAAGCTCCCTCTAGGGGAAACAATTACTTTTTGTATCCATCTTTAAAAAAAAAAAAAAAGCAGATCTAGCAACAAAGTTTTCCTTTTTCGGATATTTTGTCAATATTTTGTTCCTTTTAAATGCGAAAGGGAACAATGGAATCAATATGTTTCTCTTCTTTTAACTATCTGTCAAAAACGTTTGTCCATAGTCAATGAACTTCCCCAGAACGTCTGTCCTGACACCCCGCTCCCAGGTTCAAGACGGTGGAAAACTGCCTTTCTTTGCTCTCTCTTCTGCAGGTTTAAACAGTCTAAAAAGGGTTCCCCCCTCTTCTCCTGCTTCCAAGCGGGGTTCAGTAATTTCAAATGATGAAATTTTGATCCTTTATAGACGTCTTTCTAAACTCTAGCTTGCCGTGTCTTTGCTTCAATCTATCTACAAAAAGCGGAAGGCGGACTTCCTGTTTAGACCTTCCCGCTTCAGTGCCAAAATAAAAAATTTCTTAATCCAATTTTCCGTCCTACTCACGGGCAGTTGTTTAAAATCCAATTGTTCACAGGAAAAAGTCAGCGCTCTCCGGCAACAGCAATGCGGCTTCACTCCGTGAAAGAAGCAGTCGATTCAAAGCACCGCGCCACTCACCCCACGTCGCTCCGGATCCCCGAAAACCGGGTTTCCCCGCGGGTAGGGGGGGCGCAAAGGTGCCAGCCGAATCCCACGTCCACAGGCTTCTCCCGCCTGTGGTTTTTGATGGGTCTCCGCCTCGCCGTGGCGGTTCAGACCCTGTTTTCCACGGAGCGGATTCCTCCCGATCGGAGGAAATCCGCCATTGCCAGAGGCGCCAACCCGGAAGTAAGTACGTAATTTGTTCCAGAGGTCCGTTCTTAACCTGAAACTGTTCTTAACCTGAAGCACCACTTTAGCTAATGGGGCTTCCTGCTGCTGCCGCGCCACCGGAGCACGATTTCTGTTCTCATCCTGAAGCAAAGTTCTTAACCTGAAGCACTATTTCTGGGTTAGCGGAGTCTGTAACCTGAAGCGTATGTAACCTGAAGCGTATGTAACTTGAGGTACCACTGTATTACATAATCAAAAAGTAGTGGCCCAGATCAATACTCTCCCAGTGATACTGGGCAGGGAGGTTTCTGTTCGCTGTTAATTTTCATGTTTTAAATGTTTTAAAGTTAGTTCAAACATGTGCAAGAACTCACAACAGATTCATAAAGTGGAAATTCCAAGCATTACACACGCAGTATTATTTTTTTGTATGATGAATCAGCAGACTCTATCTATCAGCAAGCTCAATTGATTTCTCCTCTCTATAATGCACTTTTCTATAAGCATTTAATTTTGCCATGGCATGCCAAACAGTTTCTTACTATGCCTCCTTTGATGGACATTTTGTAGATTTCCAATATCTACTGAACATGATCCTAGCTTATATAATGAGATTCACTGTCGATACATGAAGTTGTTTTGAACTCTAGTCCAATATATAATTAAGCAAGTATATGCATGGAGTAAATTCTAACTCACAACATATTGTTTCATATTTTGACATCGTTTGTCAGTAGCCTTGTACAATCGATGTCCTCTTTCTGTTAATGATTCTAATTATTTCATACACACACATACAAAATGGACACTCAAAATTTTATCAGGACAAGTTATCTGTTGTTTACTGTTTTCTCAAAATTTATCTTGTGTACCATGAAAATAAATCAAAACGGTATTATTATTATTAAAAAATCTTTTTCCTTCTCTTGAAATCTATCTGTGATCTGAAAAAGCCAATATAGATAGGAAACTTCAAAATAAAAATGATGGGGTGAATTTATTAACTCATACACCCATATTTTGCATGTTGAAATCAAATATTTGCTGGAAATATTTTTTCATTGGCTCTCCAGGTATCAAACCAGAGATGTCCAGATCACAAACCAACTCATCATAGTTTAGCAAACTTGTCAAAGATTTCCCAAAACTGTCAAGTCAAAGGCTCTGGGGTGTAGCATGGGGGGTGCCAAAGGGACCATGACCCCAGACGCACAATTTTTGAGTGGGCACAAATCAAGCACCTCCATGCAGGTGCCCCCAGCACAGCCTAGCCCGGTGCTCCTCTCTACCTGTCAAGGGCCACATTGTCAAGTACGCTGCTACATAGGCTAGACAAAAGCTGAACCATCCACAAGACCAGTAAATCATCTGCAAATCCACTGAGATATATATTTTTTAAAAAATATCTTAAGAACCTGAACAAATTCTTCCATATTGAAAGCTGAGAAAGTATCGCTAGTATGATATCAGGTCTTGAGCTGGGATGCTGGCAGGTCACCTAAGGCACCAATTTTCACCAGGGACATTGGTTAGCAGAGAAAACTGTAGGCTAGCAGAACATTGTCCCGGGAATCAGGTGGTCCCAGATAACCAATCTCTTGCTACTGCTTACTATGAAGCTCCTGCATCTGAGGAGCAGCCTGATGCTTGAGGAAAGCCAGGAGGTTATTTCTCTGTGCCCACCTGTTCTAGGCACCCAGAGCACTTGAACCAGACACCTGACCTTTGGTAATCTCTCATCTCCCAGTCTGCATAGCAACCCTAGCTTAGGTAATGCTTTCCTATCACAGTTTTATTCTAGATAAAGGTAAAGGGTAAAGGGACCCCTGACCATTAGGTCCATTCATGACCGACTCTGGGGTTGCAGCGCTCATCTCGCTTTATTGGCCGAGGAAGCCAGCGTACAGCTTCCGGGTCGTGTGGCCAGCAGGACTAAGCCGCTTCTGGCGAACCAGAGCAGCGCACGGAAACGCCGTTTACCTTCCCACTCGAGTGGTACCTATTTATCTACTTGCACTTTGATGTGCTTTCGAACTGCTGGGTTGGCAGGAGCTGGGACCAAGCAACGGGAGCTCACCCCGTCGCGGGGATTCGAACCACCGACCTTCTGATCGGCAAGCCCTAGGCTCTATGGTTTAACCCACAGCGCCACCCGCGTCCCCACTTTATTCTAGATACATAACACCAATTGAAAAGATATGAGCAAATTAAAATACAGGGGCAAAAAATAGCAATGAAGGGCATCTGCATGTGCTGAAATGTAAGTGCGCATTCAGTTTAGAAGATACATGGAAGAAAATCACTCATCTTTTTTTTTCCTTCTTTTTTTGCCTCTATCAGTTCTCCCTGCTTTGGCAGCCACAGTATCATCCGACTTCCCCTGCCACATATTTAGAGTATTTTGTATAACTCCCAGGAAGCACAATATCTTAAGCGCATTTAGAATTCACGACACGGCCCTCGTTGAAAAGAAATATGCCTTACTGCTGGCTCCAGAAGCGAGTCTGGGAGCAGAAGGCTTCTGGAATAATTGTCAAGTCTTTTTGACTGTGTCAAATACAAATTTTATCATTTGGCCTTTTTTAATTTCACTTGTCAGAATGAAAGAGAACAGTACCTGAAGTGATCTCCCAGTATGTCAGGAGTAATGGGAAGTTTGGGACCACATGTTAGCTGCTCAAAAGAAAAAAGAAGAAGAAAGCAGAAAGAGAAATTGACGTGGGACGAATGCAAATCTGCCCTCATTTATTCTCTTTCAGCGGCGCAGGAAAGTGCAGGAAAGGCACTTCCAGTTATTTTCGCTGAGGAAAATAAAACATGTATTACAACAGGGAAAGCAGGGAGGTTAAGAAGCTGTAAGAAAAGTCGCTGCCACTGTGTCAACCCCTATCAAAAATCACTTGTGTTAAACAATCGCCTGTGATGGCGTTGGAAGGAATTTTAACTTTAACGCAGGGGAGGGAGACGTTCTGCCAGTTAAGTAAAAGGTTTACTTTTTCAGGTTGGCAACTCTATCACTCTGTTCGTACTACCACTCAAAAGGTGATGCCATGTTAGCCTAAGAATCATCCCAACCAAAGATATATGGAAGCCAGGATTCTCGGGCATTCAGCCACCCCATTATGTATCTTCCACTTTGTGATAAAACACAATGGTGGCCAATATTCAGTGCAACTGCTGTATCGAGAACAGGAGTAGCCAACATGGTGCCCTCCAGATGCTATGCACT